CCATCTCCGTGAGCTTTCAACTGGCCGAAGATGCGAATGTCGATTTCTGCTTGTTGAGTGTGTACCGAATTGGATTCGACTGCTCTTCTGGTACGGCGTCGACAGCATCCAATTCTTCCGACACTGCGTCTGGGCTCAATGCGAGGGCTTACTCCGTGCCGCTCATTCGAAAGGATCGGACCACTCCTGCAGCCGTCGTGACTCCTGCCCCAGAGGCGCCGACTAACAACCTGGCGACTTCGACGTACTATATCACCAGTGAAATCGTGATCACCAGCTGTGGCCCTTCGGTAACCAATTGTCCAGCAGACTCCACTACGGTGATCACGTCGACGATCCCCGTGTCTACTGCCGTTCATTCTGCCACAGAGACCTCCGCAGATGAGTCTTCGACGGAGGTGCCAGATGTTACCTCTACCAGCAGCGGGGAGTCTAGCATCGCTGTCCCTACTGCTACTTCTTCTATCGAAACTGTCCCCGTCGATACATCTTCTGGCACGACTACACCGGCTGTCACGCCTTCTAGCAGCGCGGTCAACAGCTTAACGTACTCCAGCGAAGTCGTCCCAACTGTCACACCGTCCAGCAGCACATCTAGCTTTACGCACTCGAGTAGCGCGCTCTCCAATACCCTTCCATCTGGAAGCTCTCCTGTGGAGTTGACCTCTTCTCAGTTGATCCACACGCCTACGTCCGCACCTGTAATCACACCAGGGCCTAGCTCCTCTGCTCCGGCTGCGGACAAAGTCACGGTGATTACTTGGGTCACGGTGACAAGCTGCCCGGTGACTTCGACGGGTACCGTCAGTGGAACTCTGACCACCTCTGTGGGCACTACTCTTTCTACGGTGACTATGACTTCAACATCGACTATCTGCACCAAATGTATTGCCTCAACCAGCGTTCCATCGGGAGTGGCGCCCATCTCCTCGGGCCCTATATCGTCTGGACCTGTTCCTTCTGCTCCCGTCACTACACCAGGGCCCAGTGTACCTGCATCAAGCGTGGACAAGACTACAGTGATTACCTGGGTGACTGTCACAAGCTGCCCGGTCACCTCCACAGGGACTGTAAGCGGCAAGTTGACTACGTCAGTGGGCACGACGCTTTCTACTGTGACCATGACCTCAACGTCGACCATTTGCACCAAATGTATTGCGCCAACAACTGTTCTGTCGGGCGTGGCGCCCGTCTCCTCGGGTCCTGTCTCGTCCGGTCCTTTACCATCCGCTCCCATCACCACACCAATTGCGCCTGTTTCAAGCGTGGATAAGACCACAGTGATCACCTGGGTGACTGTCACAAGCTGCCCGGTCACCTCCACAGGGACTGTAAGCGGCAAGTTGACTACGTCAGTGGGCACGACACTATCTACAGTGACGATGACCTCAACGTCTACCATCTGCACCAAATGCATCGCCCCTTCTACCACTGTTCCTTCAGGCGTTGCTCCAATCTCTTCGGGTCCAGTTTCATCCGCTTCTGCCAATACTCCAGGCCCAAGCGCGCCCATCTCGAGTGTAGACAAGACGACCGTTGTCACTCATGTCACACTGACCACGTGCCCTGTGACAGCAACGGTTTCTGAAGGCGGTTCTGTGAGTACTTCGGTGGGCACGACGGTGTCGACTGTAACGTTGACGTCTACTTCGACTATTTGTACGAGGTGCATTGCTCCGACGTCGGTTCCGTCGTCGATTCCTGCTGTGACTCCGACTTCGCTCACTACGTCGCTCACATTGCCTCTTCCGTCTTCTGTGGCGCCTGTTTCATCAGGTCCTGTTTCTACAGTCACCGGTGTTGTCACTGGTTCAGTCACTGGTTCAGTTACTGGTTCAGTTACTGGGTCTGCTACTGGCTCGGTCACTGGTTCGGTCACCAATTCTGCTACCTCTGGAACTGTTACTTCAACTCCCATCTCATCAGGTCCTATTTCATCGGGCCCCGTTCCAACAGGACCTGCGCCATCGGGTTCTGTCCCTATCACCAGCGTGGATAAGACTACTGTTGTCACATATACTACAGTGACTACTTGTCCCGTGACATCAACAGTCTCCGAAGGCGGTTCTGTATCGACGTCTGTTGGAACTACAGTTTCAACTGTCACACTTACTTCGACCTCAACTATCTGTACCAGGTGTATTGCGACAACAATCCCCTCTGGTGTGGCACCCATCTCCTCCGGTCCGATCTCATCGGGTCCAGCTCCGTCAGGGCCCGTCCCTGTAACTAGCGTGGACAAAACTACTGTGGTTACATATGTCACTGTCACCACTTGCCCTGTGACATCAACGGTCTCCGAAGGGGGTTCCGTGAGCACATCGGTGGGAACTACTGTTTCGACTGTCACTCTTACCTCGGTGTCGACCATCTGCACGAAATGCATTGCTACGACAGTCCCCTCCGCTGTGGCTCCTGTTACATCTGGGCCTGTTGCAGCAACAACTTCAAGTGTGGACAAGACCACAGTCGTCACAATCACCTCGGTGTCCACCAGCCCTGTGACCACTACGGTCTCGGCCGGCGGAACTGTCTCTACTTCGGTGGGCTCCAGTGAATTAACAATCACTATTACATCGGTGTCAACCATCTGCACCAAGTGCATTGCGCCTACAACAGTTCCCTCTGCTGTGGCTCCTGTTACATCGGGTGCCATCTCGTCGACCCTTTCGAGTGTGGACAGGACCACGATCGTCACGATAACCTCTGTTGCTACCAGTCCCGTGACAACTACTATCTCTGCGGGTGGCACTGTGTCTACCTCGGTGGGCTTCACTGAGTCGACTGTATTTGTCACCTCGACTTCGACCATTTGCACGAGATGCATTGCCCCCACGCCAGTTCCATCGGGTACTGCACCTATTTCCTCTGAGTTGCAGAGCACAGCCACGGTAGTTACCTGGGAGACTCTGACAACTTGCCCGGTCACCACGGTCATCACCTCGGGTGGTATTCCTGTCACCTCTGTCACAAGTACTATCTCGACGGTGACTTTGACCTCGGTTTCCACCTTCGCAACATCTGTTGCAGTCAGTGTTCCCTCAGCCCCAACTTCTGTCGCAGCCTCCCCTGCTGTGCCAACAGCTGGTATTTCTACTGTGACCGTGACCACTTCAACTGGTGCTCCCTCTGGTCTCACAGGTGTCTTGCCCGTCTCTTCTCAATCTCAGATTGCAACTGGGCTTGCTCCCACCGTGACGTCTGTCATCTCCTCTGGTGGTCCATCGGGCCCTACAGGTGTCTCCCCTGTTTCCTCTGAACTCGAGAGCACGACGACAGTCGTCACTTGGCAAACATTGACCACCTGCCCAGTGACTACAGTCATTACTTCAAGTGGTATTCCAGTCACTACGGTCACTAGCACAGTCTCAACCGTGGTTTTGACCTCTGTCTCCACGATATGCCCCAAATGCTCGGCCACTCCAACCGCTGTGGCTCCTGTCACGTCTGTTGAGAAGGCAACCACTGTGGTGACATGGCAGACTGTAACAACATGTCCCGTCACGACGGTGATCACCTCTGCTGGACAGCCGATTACCTCAGTCTCCAGCACTGTGTCCACAATCACAATGGTCGCGACATCAACCATCGCAAGGACGGTCGTGGTTCCCACCGGAGTTGCCCCCGTTACCGGGGTTTCCTCACCGGCGCCATCTGCCTCGTGTCCCAGTGTGGTTCCCAAATGTATCAACACCTGGCTCGAACTGGTCCCCAAGTGCACCTCGAACAGTGACACGAGCTGCTACTGCCCCTCGGCGAAATTCACCAAGAAGGTGATTGAATGCATTCAGGCGTGGAGCTCCTCCTCGACGGAAGTCCAAGCCGGCCTCTCATGCTTCACTGGACTCTGTGCAGCCTGGGTGCCCCAGAACCCCGGCATTGTCACAAATATCCCGTCCAGCATCACGCTAGGCCCGACCCCCGTCCCCAGCGGCGTCGCGCCCGTCAGCGGTCAAGTCACCCATACTGGAACCAGCGTCAGGCTGACCAGCGGACCTGCTGCTGCTCCCTCAGTTCCCTGCACCACAATCACCTACTCCACCTGGACAGTGACCGTCCCGCAGGTCGTCTTCACAACTGCCACGGCCAGCTCAAAGACAACCATCGGTCTGATCCCCGGGGGCGGTTCCCCAACATCGACTCGGTTGCCGAACCCCTGGTTCCCTTCTTCCTCAGCCTGGATCTCCCGCTCAGGCACCCCCACCCCAACCCCGACCCCGTCGCCGAGCTACACGCCCTTGTGGTCGAATACCGGTGCAACGCTAGGTGTACCCTGGACGTGGTGGTTGGCTGTTGTTCTGGCTACGATCATCGGCTTGGTCTAGTCCAGTCACTGTTTCATAACCATGTTCAGTAAAATAGGAGCGCACACAAATCTGGCAGGTCTCTTTTCCCGTTGAGCTCCGTGGTCATTGTTTTCTTTTCGTTCACAGTTTGAATCAGGAAGTAGTTTAGTGCAAGACGGCCAATGTACTTTAGCTTCGATTTCTATTCTGCACTCATAATTCACTAGTGTGTAATGCCTCATCTAGTGCTTCTTGCGAATGGTGGGCTAAGATGATGTATAGAAGCCGTGACAACTGGTGTCTTATAACCCCACGATGAGGCCAGAGACTCTCGTGTCGTAGATCATGGAAAGGGTTCTTGATGCGGTTGGCGGGGCATTTGCCGGGTCATTCATACATGGGGAGGTATAGGTTGTGATTTTGGGGGTAGATTGAGGTGTTGATGTCGATACCATTAATCATGGGATAGAGAGAATCATCAAATGAGAATGCAAGCTACGCAGCTCTTCATCTCTTAATTGTCAACTTGCCTTCCCCTTGAACGCTATGCATTGTTGTTGTTGTTGCAGACGGAAAAGAGTCGGCAGAAAATCGGAGATCATTTCGGCCCTTCATAACTCCGGCGGGCTCGGAATTAACCGACCATCGCCGACTCCAGAGAGCATTAATGATCCAGTAGTGGAGGCGGTGCAGCCTGATCGTTCATCTTCTGGTATGGACCTCAATGGACCATCAACCACCTCAGGGCCGCCGTCGCCTGGCGATCTGATTGCCCAGCAACGCAAAGACGCCATCCAAGCGGCCACCCAGCCCCCCAGCGATGCCGGGCTTTTCGCGCAGCTTACCAGCAATCCTTTCTTCACAGCGGTGAGCAATTGAACGCCATCAACGGAAACCGGGTTCTTTTTGAGGAGAAGAGAGACACTAATGCTGTGTTTGGTGACACTAGGGATTCGGTCTCGCAGGTCTGGGAGCTGGACTGAGTCTAGCGCAAAAGGGACTCCGCCATGGCGCTGCGCTCCTCCGCCGGCGCATGCTCGTCGACGTCGAGATCAGCGTCAAGGATGAATCCTACCCGTGGTTTCTGCACTGGATGACGCTGTACCAAAGCTCCCAGCTCAACACGACTCGCGTCGCCGCCACCGCCGCCGCCGCCAGCCGGTCTGGCTTCATGGAATCGATCCTCCGCAAATTGACCCCGGGCACGCGCCATCTGTCCATCCAAACGCAGAAAGTCGAACACACCAACGGCGCCATCCACACGCAGTTCGCCCTCGTCCCGGGTATGGGTCACCACGTGCTGCGGTACAATAACGCTTTCATCTTTGTGAACCGCATGCGCGAGTCCAAATCGGTGGACCTGAAGACCGGGCAGCCGTGGGAGACCATCACGCTCACGACGCTGTACGCCCATCGCCACGTGTTCGAGGAGATCTTCAAGGAGGCGCACGCGTACGCGGTCCAGGCGCACGAGGGCAAGACGACCATCTACAATAGCTGGGGCACGGAGTGGAAGCCCTTCGGCAAGCCGCGGACCAAGCGCCCGCTGGAGTCGGTGATCCTCGACGAGGGCGTCAAGGAGCGGATCGTGGAGGACGTCAAGGACTTCACCGCGAGCTCGAAGTGGTACCAGGACCGGGGCATCCCCTACCGCCGCGGCTATCTGCTCTACGGGCCGCCCGGCACGGGGAAAAGTTCGTTCATCCAGGCTCTGGCCGGCGAGCTGGACTACGACATCGCCATTCTGAACCTGAGCGAGCGCGGGTTGACCGACGATCGGCTGAACCATCTGCTGACGATCCTGCCGAACCGGACGCTGGTCCTGCTGGAGGACGTCGATGCGGCGTTCTCCAACCGCCGCACCCAGACGGACGAGGACGGGTACCGCGGGGCCAACGTGACGTTCTCCGGGCTGCTGAATGCCTTGGACGGCGTGGCGAGCGCCGAGGAGCGGATCATCTTCCTCACCACCAACCACGTCGAGCGACTGGATGAGGCGCTCGTGAGACCCGGCCGGGTGGACATGACGGTACGCTTGGGCGAGGTCAGTCGCTATCAGGTCGGCCGTCTCTGGGACCGGTTCTACGGGGAGCTGGAGCAGAGCGCCGTCTACCGCCAGGCGTTCCTCGACCGACTGCAGGAATTGGGGCTCATCGAGGACGCAGATGGGAACAAGGCCGATCTGTCGAGGAGCACCAGTGCGGCCGCCTTACAGGGCCTGTTCCTTTACAATAAGGGCAACATGGAGGGCGCCATTGCTATGGCTGAGGGATTGATGTTCAGGGTTCATCACAGCGATTAAAGATTTTGTAGATTAGAGTCGAGTCTCATGTAAATTAGATCTAAGCACAGACTGGTTGATGTATTATAGCCACTCGGCAATTTGTTTTGTATTGTGTCTTGGTGGAGCGCGCTTACGGCTTTGCTGATGTCACGCTGCATTGTTGTTGATTCCCCGCCATCTTCATCCATCCTGCTACTACTTCCATTACTTCACACTTTCCCCCCTCACTCACTACTCACTACTCACTACTCACTATCTCTGCAACTCTTGGCTCTGAGCCATAGCAGTTAGCACAAAATGAATCAACCAGTCATGGCCGGTTACAAGGGCTAGCAAGTGACAATCCAGCCTCCTGCAGACATCAGGTCTCTCAACCCATGCAGCTATTCTTCACAGACCACGCGACAGTCAAATCATGCACCACAGCCGATCAATCACCACTTGGACACTAATCTATGCCGGCCAAATCAGATCGCCCGTCACCTTTGCTATCACTTCCCGACGCGCCGTGCTGAACAAGAGTCACGCCGGTGCCAAAGCGGGGGAGCCTATCACCGCTGCTGCGTGATGGGCCGTTTAAGCGCCGGCCACGGGCGTTCAGGAATCCCTCGCGTTCTGCACCCTGGTGACAGCCTGTCATGTTGCAGACCCTTGCCGCCCTTTCGATGGAGGGCTTATCGAAGGTTTGGCAGGCCAAGCCTGCCCCGAAGTCTATGTGTCTGTGCCGTTGCCGTCACCGCTCCGTGACACGGGGGTGGGTGGGCGACTGCGTTGCCAGGCGGGTCGAGTATATCTATGCTCTGTCGCCTATTGTTTTTCTGGGGTTGATGTCCAATGGACTGGATTGCTGGAATTGTTCAGTGGTGTTGACGTGTGCAGTGACGATTACTTATTTCCAGGACGTCTTCTGAGATCATGAGCTCCTTTCAGCTCTTTCCCACATCTCCGGATAGCGGGACCTCTAACAACCCGTTTTTAAAAGGGAAGCGAAGGCAAGCCGGCGGCCGACCGCTGGCGGATGCGATCCCTCTCAAGACCCTCGGTAACAAGGGCACCGTGGCCGAGGGGATGCTTTTCCGCGTGGACCAAAATCCAGAGAGCGTCCCAGCGCCCCCAAAGGCCCACGTTGCTCGGCCCTCGCAGTCCTCATCGTTGGGAACACCCCAGGAGCACGATGCACGCCGGAATGCTTCACATGTCAACGCCACTACATCGGAAGACCGGATGGCCGGGCGAGTGGGGTCTCAATCCAGCTCGAAACGCAGCAAAGGAGGGTCCACGCCCATCGCAGAAGCAACTCCCAAGTCAGAGTCGCCGGCACCTCCTATGAGGTCTATGTTTCCTCAGTATAACCCGCAGCTACCACTCAATCAGCAAGCATACTATCCCCCGGCGTCCGGCCATACTCCTCGGAATTACTCAAGACCAAGCAACATCCTCCTGTCGCCTGCGCCGGAGATTGACCAGGCCCTTGGCCCGAAGACGGTGCCTGCTAGCGTGCTGAATTTCCCTTCGGGGGTGCTGGATACACCTGAGATGCGATACTCTTCCGTGGAGGAGCTGAGGAGTTTGTGGGAAGCGGCCAATGGTCAGAGGCCGCAGAATATGCCGGAGACGTTCAATCTGCGTCTGCAACGGTGAGCATGGGATGTGTTGGGGGAATGATTGAATGGATGCTGACTCGATGCAGGAGTGGGCCTACATCATTTTCCTTCGGAGAACCCACCGCGCCGTTCTATACGATGCAGATTGAACCGAATGACGGGATCTCTCTGACGAGGATCAATCCCTCCAGGTCCAGTAATAGCGTTCCGATAATGACATTCAAAGTGGAGGATCGATCTCGGCGCGAACTGCGCGGAGACAATCTAGTCTCGCTGCTGCTGCCCCGCCTCGCCGCCGTGCTAGCCCTGGATCAGGTTGCGGAGATGGTCAAGGAGCACCAATTGCCCCACCAAGATGCGATCGAGCTGGAGGCCGATGCTCTCAAGCGGGTGGCCGAGCAGGAGTCATGCAAGCTGTTCTGGAATTCGACAAATCATAACTACGAGCTGCACCACCCGGCTCTTTGCAAGCAGCCGCCCGCCTTGGTCGGCGCGGCAGGCATCCCTCTGTCCCCGGTGCGATCGAAATACGCTGGGAGTCTGCAGGTGACCGTGTCCAGTGCCTCTGCCGAGTCCCGGTCCAGCCAGCCCCCGATCGTTCTCGTGACCACGCCCGTGTCGGCCAATGCGATCGAGTCGGCCAACACGGCGGCGACGCCCCGGACCTCCACGCTGCCGTTGATGGACTCGGACGAGCCGCTGGCCGCGCTGGACCTGGGGACGATGACCCTCTCGATCTCCGGGGTCTCGACCATCAACACCGTCCCGTCTCTGTACGCGATTGACTCCGTGGTTGCGGCGATGCTGGCCGTCGCCGTGTCGGACGAGGCCACCGGCCCGATCCTGAAGGAGCTGGTGCTGTACGGCTCCGAGCGATCCATCACGCCATGGGGACAGGGACCGTACGGCACCGGCTACCGCAGCGACCTGGTCACAGCAGCGGCAGAGCGGGACGAGGCGCAGAAGGGCCACCAGCTGTGGTCGACGGTGAAGTCGGCGTTATCATCATCGGTCTCGGAGAAGAGCGAGCAACCACCGCGGCGCTGGTACCGGTTCGGGGGCCGGGGCCGCCGGGCCCAAAAGACGAAGAACCGGAAAATCGTGGTGGAGGAATTCGACCTGGAGCGGTACGGGCGGTACGGGCATGGCTCGTCGCGGGAGGGCCAGAAGCTGCCGGGGATCACGCGGGGCATTCTGCGGGTGGTGTTTTTGGGATTGGAGGTGGTGGTGCAGCTGCTCACTTGGGCGGTTAAGGTATTTGCGTGGGTGCTGGTGAACGCCACGCGGTGTGTGACCAGCGAGAGGTTTTGATGATTTCCCTATGTCCCTTGGAGTGGTTATGCAGTTCTATTTGGTACAGTACATCACGGGTTGGATAATTTTTTTAATGACAAGGGATGCGGAGCATTCCATCTTGCCACTTCTGTTAACTCCCGTCCCAACTCCCGTTACAATTTGTGTCTATCATTGCCTCTCAATCGCCTCTTTTTAGGGGTGTGTAGATGCTTACATTTGATTCCCATTCGCCCCTGGCCAGTGACATGCATACATGCAGCTGCACACCCGGGATGCGACACTACAAACTCTGGCGATACATTCGCCGGCCGCATACCTTACTCGATCAAGACACTCCCCCTACATTCCGCTCTGCGACGTCGGACCGCGCCACCTATGGGGATTGGTGCTGGAATCCAGGGGATGGCGATGCAAAGTCGATTGGGATGGAGGGTAGCATTGCATGTATGTATGGCGGAGGATTGAGTGCTGACCACTGTATATAGGCGGACGCAACACCATAGACCCTGCCATCAAGCTCACTTCAGGATATCATCTTCACATCCAGAGACTGTAGTGTGCTGTGCATACACCAGCAAGATGCGCGCAATCCTTATCCTCTCGACCATCACCCTCGCCACGGCGACTACCAACAAAGACCTGGGGTATCTCCGCTGCGCCGTACGCATCCCCCCCCTTCCTTGACTTTGGACCGACACCTTGACCTGGGATATCGAATACTAATGAATAAGAGAGGGTATAGTCCTCCATAGCCCGCACCTACCAGACGCCCCAATCCCAATCCCAGTCCCAATCCGAAGCCCAATGCACCTCCCCCTCCGCCCTGGATTGCTTCTGTAATGCCCCGTTCGATCCCTCGGCGCTGGACCAGGCGACGCTGGATGAGTGTGCGAGTGAGGGTGTTGGTAGGTCCCCCTGCCCCTGGCGCTAGATCTGTTGTTTGAGGTGCCCGTGTGCTAACGGTATAGAAACCGCTAATATCCCCGCGTATATCTGCGACGACGCGAACGTCCCCGTCTCGCCGCGGAAGGGCAGTGTGCCGATGGTGAGAATTGGGGTTGTTGAGGAGGATGCTGCTGCAGCAGAGACCCCCGCTCCTCTGAGAGGGAGTTTGCCCATGGTCCGGGTGGGAGATTCCTTAGGGAGTGACAATGCAGGTGTGAGTGCTAGTGCCAGTGCTATTGCCAGTGCCAGTGCTAGTGCTAGCGCCAGCATATTTGGTGGTTCGCACCGAGGTAGTCAGCCCATGGTGCGCGTGGGGGATCTGCTGGCTAGTAGTTCTGCAGCTGCAGCAACAGCCACAACTGCAGCTTCAAGCAGTCTAGCTACGCCCACCGCAATCGCTAATGCAGAAGCTGGTGTGGAGGCTATCCCGCGCCGAGCAAGTCGGCCCATGGTGCGGCTGGGCGGAGAGACCACGACCACGAAGCAGCCTCTCGCACAGGCAGCTACAAAACCCCATGCGCAAGGACAAGCACAGAAACGGGCAGGAGCAGCAGAGACACTGAAAGCAAGAGCCTACAGCCCCAACCTGCACCCGGACCCCCTTCTCCTCCCGGAGGACGTCCTCCCTCTTCCTTCTGCCGATGAGGCTTCCGTGCTCGGCACTGCAGCAGCAGGGCAAGCACCAGGCCAAGAAGAGAAGAACGTCCCCCTCCCGCTTGAGTCGGTGGTCATTCCGGATGGGAATGTGAATCCGGATGTTGCGGCTGCTCCTAGCCCCTATACCAGCCTCAATACCCACACCCAGATGGAAACCCAGACCCAAACACAACAACCCGCAGAACCCCAAGCTCCGCTCCCGCAGCAGCAACAAGAAATCGAGGTCCTCACCTCGGAGCTAACATCCTGCGCGTGCTCTGCCACTGCTACTGCTACTGCCGCTGGTGCTGGTACTGGTGCTGATGCTGGTGCTGCTGGCACCCCCGCCAGCGCTACAGCGGTCCATGCAACAGCAACAGCAGCAACAGCAGCAACAGCAACCTTCCAAACAAGCGCAGCCACCTCCCCCACCTCCTCCCACTCAAGCTCAAAATCAACACCCACGACTCTGGCAAGCGCAAGCAGCATCCCCATCCCAACGATCACCTCCTCGTCCGTGAAACTCGTGACCGTGAATCCGACGGCCACGGCGACCGCGACGGATGTTCGGGGGTCGATTGCCGCTCCGTCGGGCAAGCAGCCACCCGGGGAGCCGAATGCAGGGTTGTTTCAGGGGGGTGCGGGGGGCTTGCAGAGGCGTGGCTGGGGGGTTGGGGGGGTGAGTTGCTTGGTTGGGGCTGTGGTGCTTCTTCTGTGATGTACCTTTCATAAAAGGATGGCAGTGGTGATGTATGCGTATGGGTCTTGATACTTTCTTTCTGGATGGATGGATACTGATGCTGGCGTTTGTCATAATGGGTCTAAAACAAGAGTTGATTTCTTGTTAATTTGATATTGGATGGGAAAAGATTGTGCAGGAAGAGGTTATGAAATTGGGTTTGGATGTTTTGGTTCATGTGTGTATGACTTGACTTGATTTGATTTGACTTCGTCGCTTATGAGGAATGAAATTGAGATTATCCTTACACTAAACATTACACTAACATTCACTTAACAGTACATTAGCATTAGCATTAACTTGAACTTTAACCTGGTACCCGTCAGATACTATAGTACCGTGTGCAGTCTAAACCCCACAGTATCTAGACTCGATTAAACATGTCTACTAGACGAACCACAATCCCCCAAAGTACTCATACACATCCTAAGTCCCTTCTGGCCGACCCTACGCATGAATAGCCTGCTGCACCCGCGGATACAGCTGCACCAACCGCTGATACAGATCCGGATGCTGCTCAATCATGACCTGGGGATCCCATGCCATGGCGGCAAAGATCGTCTCAATGCCACTGCTCATCGGGGTCATGAAGATCTGGCAGATCTGCAGCCCGATAACAAACGCAAACGCCATGATCACTGCCGTGAAATCCCCGTCCTGGTTGTAGGCCGGGTGGGTGTACCGCAGATACAAGTACGCGAGGAGGGCGCACACGTAGCTCACAAACACCGACCCCATGGTCAGCACGGGCCCGACCAGACAGTCCGCGGCCAGGGCGTCGACGCCGCGGTCCTTCATCATGGTCCAGGTGTCGCGCGCCGCGGGGAGGTACGCCTTCCCGTACAGCGCGATGTGGCAGAAGGCGTAGCGGTTGAAGAAGGTGACCAGCCAATCCAACAAGCTGATAAAACACCCCAGGATCCAGAAGGCCACGCTGCCGATGAGACTGCCCTGCGCCGCCTCGTGCCGTTGCGCCACGCTGCACGCCTGCCGCAGCATGTTGATCAGCGCGATGATCAAGCTCCCGAAACTGATGCTGCCGAACGAGTAGGTCGTCGCCCGCCGCAGCGCGCCCCGCGTGGCGCCCGCCGGCATCCCCTGCGCCGTGCCACTGCAGAAATACCACGACCCGTACACCCCCGCGATCGTCGTGTGCACCGTGTTCTTCAGCCACTCGCTGAACCAGTACATCGCAAACGTCACGTACACGACCAAGCCGATCACCCGGGCGCGACTGCACCCGCCACCTCCATCGCGACACGCAGGGTTCACCCCATCCCCCTCCCCCCCCGGCTCATACGCGACATAAATCGAAACGAGAGTCACCGAAAACCACGCCCCGAACGCCACGGCCACAAGCCCACCCACCGTACTCACCAGGAACATATGCCCGTAGCGTCGCGACACATCGATGGAAGTCTGCATCATGAACGCCGTGAACGGGATCCGCGGGATCCAACTGATAAAACACACGATCGCGAACACGCCGAAGATCAAGAACACAATGCCCCCGCCCCATTGGTGCTGCGTCAGGTAGTAGATCGCCGTCGCCAGCGCGAATACCACGTTCAGGATGCCCGTCACCCAGATGAAGAGCTTGGGGAATGTGCGCGCACCCAGCCAGTACGCGTACGACAGCACCAGCGCCACCGCCAGCACGAATACCAGGAGGATCACCGTGTTCGTGTTCAGCGAGAAGTCGTTCGCCGCGCCGTAGATGCCCCCGCCGCTCAGGGTGTGGTATTTGCTGTACCGGTAGATGACGACGCCGGAGACGGCGACGTAGCCTAGGAAGACGGCGATGAGCTGGGGTGGGTGATGGTTAGTGGTGCGTTGAGAAGGGGGAAAGGAAAGGGGGGTGGGGGGAAAGTACCAGAAGACCAGCCCAGAGGTCGTTCCATTTCGGTTTCTCAACCTTGAAGGCGTCGTCGAAGCCGTAGACGGCTTGGTTGTAGGTTGGGGGTGGTTCTTGTGGTTGCGGGTGCGGTGGTTTGGGCTCCGGGCCGCGATAGCCTCCTTCATTGGGGGCAGGAGGGTAGGCCTGTGAGTCTGGGCCTGGAGGGTAGCCATTGTTGCCATTGTTGTAATACTGCTGCTGCTGCTGCTGCTGCTGCTGCTGAGACGGAGGGCCGTCAAAGCGCTGGTCTGTGTTGTAATAGCTGGCTGCTTGACCGCTCATAGTTGCTGCATGCTGTGAAGGCGGGAGACAGGAATGAAGAGGTCGATCTATATACTGTGTAAAACGGACGAGAACCAGTAAAAGGCTAGTGGGGTAGTCAAGATAGCATGTAATAGGTAGTCAACATGAGGAAGAAATGGAATGAAGTGAAAAGGAACAGCAGATCAAGTGAAGTAAAGTCAGTGAAGTGAAGTCGCATGCGGCGCTGGCCGAAGGGTTACACCCGCCACAACAGAGCGCGTCATCGTGAGAGAATCAATCGATCGACTTGATCGTCTCCCGCCGAGTCCGCCGAGTCCGCCGAGCTCGTCCATGGATCGCCCAACCCCCCCATCTACTCCATCCATCTCAAATCACAGCGTCATCAAAACAAAAGAAACATTAATTGCCACTCGGTCGTCCTGTCTATGTACACACCAACTTGTCTGCCTGCCGGTCCTTCATTAAGTATTAGCAGTGTAACAGCAATTATTCAACCAACCCAACAGAAAAGCAAACAAGTGACGGTCAGTCTGCATCAAAAACAGCCGAAGAGTGTAGAATCAAGCTAATCTGGGTATCAATAAATACATAGCATGCCCGCCTGGGCAACCTCAACGCCCTCCCACCACCCTGTTCATCTGTTCATCGAAAGCCATGGTGGCGCTTCATGTGCCGCCAGGAATCCGCGATACTGCGCTCGATCCCATGAGTCGGCGTCCGCGATCGTCCATGCGCCCAGTCGTCCGTCGCCGCCTGGAGCTGGCCCATGTTCATCGCGCGCGACCGACGCATGTTCTCCTGGCGCACTGCCGTCCGGCGCGCCGCGCGTAACTCCTCGATCCGCCCTTGTCCGACCCGATGTCGCCGGACAAAGCAATCATCGATTAATGAATTCGCATCCAACAGCCGCTTTGGGACCGTCTGCACCACCTGGAACACCTCCATCGGGTCCGACACCCCCATGATGTCCTGCTCGCACGACTTGAAAATCGCCAACGACACCCGAAAAAACGTTTTCGACCCTTCGTAAAAGAACACATCCCAGACCCGGAGCGTGGTCTCCAGCGGCAGGGTGCCGATAAAGACGGACATGAGCCAGTTGGTCAGCCCCAGGGTGATGTCAGGTAGACGCGAGCTGACCGTAAGGGCTGGCACCTTCCCACTCCCCGCGCCAGGTCCATTCCCGGCGATCTTGTTGTAGATGTTGGGCGCCGATTCCTTCAGCAGCACCATCAGAATCCACAGGTCGATGTTGGCGCCCTCGAGACTGATTTCGTGCGTGCTAGGGAGATAGACGGAGCTGATGATGTGCAGCATCCAGAACGTCTTCTCTTCCGGAAGAAACAGAAGCAGCATTCCGGTAATGAAGTTCAACGACTGGGTGTAGCCAATCTGCGGGTTGTGGAGAGCAAAAGCATACAGGACGCGCCGCAGAGACTGGATCATTTCCGTTTCAACCGTGACAGACCCGTGTCTCGGGTTGCTGCTACCAGAGCTAGCGGCCGAGTCAACGTTCTCCGGCTTGAAGTGGATATTGTCCGGGAAGGTTCGATGCAGATCGCGTTCGATATGTTCCTTGTCGTCATTGCTAGGCGACTCCATGGACTGTCGAACCAGCTGGTCATAAAGGCCAGGGTTCCGATTCAGATGCTCGTAGCCTCCCGCATAGAAAAACCATGCTGCACCGCGGTACTCGGATGGGATGCCCTTGCGCACAAACCGTTTGACCTTGTTCGATTTGGGCGGAAACGTCGTCGGATCGTTGATAGGAAGCCGATTCTCCCGAAGCAGCTCTACCCATTTGATTCGTCGCTGAGAAGTGTAATCCTTGTATTGGGCATGCCATGCTTCATACTGGACGAGGGTAACGTGGTGGGTTGCCTTGCGGAAGCCATAACAGTCGCGGGCGCCATTGCCGGGTAGTAAGGGTGGCGGCACGATGCCAGGAATGATGACTGTGGTCTCCGGCTCTCGTGCAACAGGCGGATCCAAAAACTTGCGTTCCGAAGGGGGGCTCGGCGACTGGTCGTGGGAAGCTGTCGCGCCCAAGAATTCTTCATCCGGTGAGCTCCTTCCGTGAGCCTCTAACTCGGGAAAGGGCGGAACAGGCGGAGCATCTTCTGTGGGTTCCAGTTCAGGAGAATGCTCATCCGAGCTATGACAATCATCGAGGGTGATCTCCGTGGGTGGACGTGGGCTCAATGGTCGAGCCTTGCTCTCATCGTAGAACCCTGAAGAATCATACACCCCGGGCGATCCTGGCTCTTCGGTAACATCGCTGAAGCCATCCAGGTACATTGAGATTGCATCTTCCACACTCATACCACCCTCCTTATCATAGGAGCCATCCGGTGTATCGGGCGACAGATCGGTAATAGAGCTACTTTTGGTCAGGACACTGCTCCGCTCGGTTCCGCTGGCATGTTCAATGCTCGACCGCGAGGTCATGGCTGAGTTCACGCTGGATCGGAGAGCATCTTGCCCGCGCATCTCGGCGTATGTCCCAGGCGGGATGATCCGGGGCAATTTCAGGGCGGCGGATTCGTCTGGCAGGCGTTCTCGATTTCGATGAGGGTGCAGCTGCGGACGCATGCTATGTAGCTTCGACGTAGAATTGGACGTGCGCAACGCTGGCGGAGCAGGCGGGGACTTCCGGTAAGGTGGACGATCAACCTCCCCTTCCCGGGGGGCGGCCCTGGACCGAACAGGCGGCTGCAGAGGAAAGGTGGGGGAGCGGTAAGCCTGTTGGCGAATGACAAAGTCGTCATCCGCCACAGGCAAGGGGGAGACGGAGCGCCATGAGGGATCGGACGGTGGTGGGATTGGTGGACGAACCCGAGGGGAACGAGGCACAGGAGGAGGAGGAGGGTGGTGAGGGGAAAAGGGCGGCCGAGGGCCGTCCGCCGTCGCCGGTCGTGGGAAGGGAGGATTCAATCTCAGAGGATCCAGGCGGGGTGGGTTCGGGATTCTGCGCCGGCTAGGGATATCATGCGCGCCAGCAGGGGGCGGCGGATAACGAAAGTCTGCATTTCCTGTGACCATGGCCACGAGCTGTTGAACCCCAGTTCCCGCTGGACATTTGTCGACAACACTAAGCGATGATCGAACGGCGAACGCAGGCGAATTGACGATTTCCAAATACCGATTCCGATGTTGACAGAGGTTGACAGAAGAAACCAGGTTGAAATGATAGGAAACGAAGGGAAGTTGAAGTAGAAATAGGCGCCGATTAAGACCAGGGGGGCGGATAATGACAGCGATAAACGAGCGAAGAGTAGTCGAGTGAGTGCGCTGGCTTGTCAGGCGCGTAGATGAAACGAGCGGAGAGAAGCGTGTGTAAGAGTAAGTAAAGTAACGGTCATGCCTCGTTCAGCCCAGAAGGAAACAATCCATCCGCAGTCTCACGATCCTACCAGAGGGTCAATCCGAGACTCCATCCCATGACAGATCAACTCGAAAAGAGGAAAAGGGAAGAAGAAGAAGGGGAAGAGGAGTGGGGGGGGAGGCGAGGGGATGGGAGGGATAAAAGAGTTGTGGTGAGAAAGGCCAAAGAGAGAGCGAGAGAGCGAGAGAGCAAGAGAACAGAGAACGAAATAGCGAACCGAAAGGGAAAGGGGGAAAAAGAAAAGACGGCGGAGCTGGATCGGGGCTAGCGCAGGTCTCGAATTGGAAGAAAGACCCTGTCTGGCTTAGCCTGGTAAGAAGTTATACTGAGCAGTTACTGTTGATGTATTTTATTTTAGCTTCTCAACCTCGTTAATCCGGTTCTTTTCGTCCTTTTCTTGGGCATGGGTTTCAGACTGACGCCAGGATGAGATCAGTCCAACTACACTTGGGGTTTGATATTGATTACATTGCACTGGGTGCTGCTGCACAAGGGGTTGCACCAAAGACTGGAAACCAACCTAGAAAACCCCCTTCAGTGGACTGATCAGTCGACAATGGATAGCCTACTGCGGACAAACAATCTATCATATCATATCAAATTGCCCCTGCTGACAGGTCACTCAGTCACAGACTGACCTGCATCTGCTGCAGACTGCATGGTTAGTGTGCACTGCCGCACCCCCGGAGAAACTTAGGAAGGATCCGACCCGATTACAGATCCGATGCTAACAATCTCAACGGTGTTGGTTGTTCTGTCGTGAACAGACAGATCTGATGATGCCACCCCAAAACAGAAACCGGTTTTGTTTGATGACCTCTTTGGCTGCTGGCAGATGAAGAAATTGGCAAATTTACCGAAATTACCGTTGGTATGGTTCGTACCCAGTGGAGACGCCTTGGTTTCAGTCAGAACCCGGCCGTCTCCCCTTTGCGCCCACCCACTCGCGGAAGCTTCAAAGTTCGCCGTGGCTCGCCCAGCCTGCCGTCTCTCGACCGCAGGAATTGACGGGTCACTCCCGGAGTGGCTTTGGCTTCGCCTTTGGCTTGGGACTTTTGTTGATCAACTTAGAGGTCGTCTGCGGAAATGGAAATGAGCCTCTAGTCTAGTGAGAAGGTCTGCACTGCACTGCACCTTGCACCATCCTTCTCGTACCATGGCATCGGACCCTTCGGAGTATCTTCAGGGATTCAGGTGATTGAGGCGACATTCTATTGTTCCTGAGTCAGGTGGGGGCGCGTCAGCAATTGGACGATCGTCCCGTGATGAGATCCCCACTTGCGGCCGTACCTGAGCCTGAGGAGCCTGAGGTTGACGCCCTTCCTGCCTAAGGCCGGACTTGGTTCCGCTTCAGGGATTCTAGTCGCCAAGTCAGAACGAACCAAGAACAAGATGAACTCATCAAGAATTTCCTCGCCGGGCCCGCTTTTCTCCCATTGACGTACGTTATCGACGGCAGGCCACAGGTGTCTCCTTCAATAACCCTTGAAAAAGAAAACGCCAACTGTCCCGCTTGACTTGAGTCTTGACTTCATCTCCACTTGTGCCCGGCTAACAACCGTTCCATGGATCACTGGCCTCGCTTCCCGTTCGTTTGATCAACGAGCCTCCATCTCTACTGTTTCTATAAGTAAAAGCCCCGAGATGCTTCGGCCTAGACCCTTGCCTGAAGAATTTTCTGCATTGCTACCAGCAGCATCACTCCGAATTGAGCAGCGAATGGCGTCAAAGTAGCCTCACTGTTGCCCGTCCCAGCGACAAGGCTACTGTCAACCACGAAAGGCGCCGACACGTTCACGGCCACCATCCACCGCGCGGTTATTGATCCCTGATCTCACTAATCATGGCAATAGTGTCAAGCCCTGGCGCCCGCCAAATCCGGACAATGCGGTCATCTGGTGGGTCCCAGCGATGACGAACGTGTCGGCCGTCCATTTTAAATATAGTCGAGCCCGATCCCTCATCTCGCTGGCGCCGAGCTGGGCGCTTAATCCGATTTGGTGTCCATTAGGACAATCTTGTCGCCCGGATTAATTAAGATTAGCATTCAATCTCCGAGCAATATCGATTTCCCCGGGCCACCGACCACGTTTTTAGCACTGCGTCATTGTTCGTGACGACTTGCAGGGCACCGGCGACTTCTCAGCCCAGCTCAATTGCAGTCGAGAATCTATCCGAACGTATCGTTAAGCGCGCTTTGACCACCGTTCAATATTGGCTCAGCCATGCGACCCGAAGATCCAGCGGTAACTTCGGTTATTGCTCAGTCTGCAGATTGAGGGTACCACGATACTCCGATGCGCATTGAAGAACAGAGAAAGTGTTCAAGGCTGTGCATTACATTCCCTTTTCCCAACAAGCGCCCTTACTACGAAGCGAGCCCTCAACCCCAGGCCTGTGCTTTCCCCCGCCTCAATTGACCCCCAACATCTGCTGCCTCGCTCATATTTGTGTTTCAGGCCTGCTGCATCCTGCACATGGAGGCTTGAAATGGTTGGTCTAACGTCATCTTGATAATTGACAGAAGAGGAGTGTACTGTACCTAGTATCCTGGCGCTACAAACCTGGAAAGGGGGCTTGAAAGTTAGTCGAATCGATCTTGAAGTTGTTTTAACGTAAGCTTCGCTGGAGAACGGCATTAGCCAGATCTCGTTTAGGGGTGTGATGCCCGCGAACAAGATAGTAGAAGTTTTGGGTTGGAGAAGTTTAACTGGACCAAGGTGGGATTTACTGGGTTGAGATATGGTCGGATGCATGGTTGCTTTTGTACTGCTTTGAGCGACCATCCATGCACAGCAAATCCGCATCAGCAGCTTTAGCCTCCAGGACAATCGAGCTCATCTGTGGTATTGCTAGACTGACTGAGAGGATATGACTGAAGATTCTCAGTGTGCACGCCGATATGTCTGATAGTCTGATACTGGTGATTGTGCTTAGGAATCGGGGGGGCAGTAGAATACTAGTAACTTGCACAGGTTCTTTGCCCTCCGTAAACGCCTATCCTCAGTAACTTATGGGTCCTGACGGAATCAACTGGTCAGTAACCTATAGGGGATCGCGTAATACATCCAGACACATCCGGATGGAAAGCATCTCGAGACCTCGGAGTAGAGCTCAAATCACAATCCACCAGAATCTTGCTCGCCACAAGCCAAGCAACCTCAGACACCAGGCATATCACGCCTAACCAACCAAATCAACCCCACGCAAGCATCTATTGAACCACAACAATGCAACAGACAATACAAACATATGAACGAAAACAAAACGCAACAACCCGCGCGTTATAAGAACGATCCCCCATCCCTCATCCCATCCCCCAAATACCGAGCCAAAAAAAAAGAAACAAATATATATATTAGAAGTATCTACCCACCGATATCCACATACCCCAACCTCCCAAGCAAACCACCTTATATCACATCCACAAGCACGCACTTATCCCCCCCCCGCCCCCCCCCCCGGGCCCCCCCAAACCCAAAGTATGTATCCTACCCCCGCACGGCATACTTCCTCGTCCACTCGCGCGCGACCTCCTCGTACCGCGGGAAATCCCCCTTGAACTGCTCGGCGATGCGGCCCTCGACAGCGTCGTCCGGCATGGGCTCGGCCAGCAGCTGGCGCGCGAACTGCAGCACGGCCGCGAGGCGCGAACTGGGCTTCCACTCGTCCGCCCGCAGCATCCCCAGGCACATGCTCCCCTTGTCGTCGTTGGTGACGTTGGGGTGGTAGATTTTCGTCCGGAAGGAGACCGTCGGCGGCTTGAAGGGGTATTCGGTTGGGAGGGTGAGGGTAAGGTGGAAGATTCCGTTCTGGCAGCAAGGAGAAGGGGGGTTAGTTGATTGTGGAGTTGGGGGGGGGGTTCGGGGGCTGGGATTTTGGGGGTTATGGGGGATAGATAGGGTGAGGGTTGAGGCCTACCTGGTAAGGCGAGTTCTCAGGTCCCTCCATGTAGACGTTCCAGATGTAGAGGTTGGATTCGTCGGCTAGCTTGACGGTTATGCCTTCGGGGGCGGATTCGGTGAGTTCGGCCAGTTCCTTTGGGATTGTCAGTGGGGGTCTAAGGTTGAGGGGGGAGAGGGGGAGGGGGTTGGTAGGTGAAGTTGAGGGGGTATGGAGGATTGGATGCGCAGTGCAGTGTTTACCTTGGCTATCCGCTTTTGGCTGCCCATCTTGATTGCAATGTTGGGTGTGCGTGTGTGTTGGGGGGAGAGAAATAAAGCGGGGTTGTAAGGTGGAAGAGTCGGTCGAGAGATTGATGGCTGTTGATGAGCGGGTGGATGGAGTCTAATTTTTGATGCAGTTGCTGAGAACGAGCGATGGTTGAAGACAACAGCAGAGACAAATGGAGGCTGGCCTGGTTGGTTCGATGGGATCTGGAGCTGGACTGGAACTGGAACCGAAAGCTCCTTTCCTGAGATGGCGGGGCGGGGCAGGCGGGGCGGAAGATCCGCCGGAGTGGAAGACGTCAGTCATTCCAGTCAGCTATAACTAACTCCAAACACTACAAGCCTACCCAGCACTACAAGTCTACTATCACAACATGCAACGCTGGGCTCTGAACACTTGTCTCATTATGGTTTCTGAGTGATAAATACAAACGAAATGCGCAACGCTAAAAAGCGAAAGCGAGAAAAACACAACCCGAAATTCCAGCCCCAATCTACACAGCAACGTGCCCTTCCTTGGAGTTGGTGTTATCGAGATTCCTGGCTGCCTCGTCCTCCCAGAACCTCTTCTGTCTTCCTCCATTCTTGCACAGTCCAACCAAGTCAAAAGGATCAAAGAGGGTGAGGAGAAATGGGCGACTGTCACAATACCCCGGTCCTTCCAGCTCAGTAACGCCATCCCTCGCAAGGTAGATCTTGTTGGAGCGTGGAAGCCACCGCATGGGATGGAAGATGTTCAGTATCGTGGTGTTAACATACATCACAGTCGCCTCAAACACCCAGAAGAACCACTCGTCCTTGAGAACAGGACTGATGTCCTTGATGTCGGACACGTTCAGGCTGGCGGCAGTGAAGTACTCCACCGTCCGATAGATCGTCCGCACGGTGATCAGCCCGCAGCTGCAGTACAACACACATAAGGCGTGCTTCACCTTGCGATTCAAGACCCCACCGCGCCGACAGTTATAGTGGAACCTCAAGGCCAGAGCAAGGAACCCTGCCATCAGCACGAGCTGCAAGATCAGGGATGCTTTGAGCAGCCCTTTGCCGATGTCTTGCTTGCGCTGTGGGTTCTCGACGTTGGCCACCAGCGCACCACCGTTCCCAGTGAGCACCTCGATGACCATGCTCATCGCAAGAAATGTTGTGAAGACCCGTCCCGGATGGATTGGTGAGTGGTAGGGGATATAGTAAAGGATTCGCCCGAGGATCAGGTAGTTGGCTGCTTCGTAGACCGGTCTTGAGATCTGTTAGTCGTGGGTCTTCTTCGGCGAGAGCGCTACTTACGGGCCAGCGAGTAGAAGAACCGTGCTGACAATGTAGATCACCAGGTTATCCCAGTGACCCCAGGCGGCAACAGCTCGTAGCACAAAGCCGCCTGTGAAGAGCAGGGCCGACCAGGGCAAGATCCCGGTCACTTTCCAGGACTTGTACTTTCTGCAGTCGTCGTCAGTAGCGGGAAAGGATGAGGGTCTCAATGGGAGCTGCATACATGCATTGATAGATGTGCCAGATTCCAGAGATAGTGAACCAGATGGCGAAAGTGATAGGAGCACCCTTGTTGGGAGCATAATACCAGTAACTATCCTCCTCTGTTGGACGTTAGTACTGGTTCTCACATTCAGGCCAGGACTAGGATGCATACGGTACGGCGATCTTCTGTCCAGCATCACGGTATAATAGGTAAAGAAAAAGCCAAATCAAATTAGCCGACGACGACGATGACTATCGCTAAGATGCTTCGATGATGAGGAGAGCGTGTTTGCTGAACAATTAAATGCCATTTCTATGTCCTGGTCTACGAAATATATATGTCCAGCATGTGGCAGAGCCCCATTAGCGAAAACGAGCAACCTCTATCCAGTAATCAGCCACGGCCCTATGAGAGGCTCCAGATGGACCTCTGACCTAAAACACCCAACCTTAAATGATCAGTTTGAAGGCTGAGCTGTAGAGTTGTTGCCCGATCGTCAACTGAGTTGATCATTCATGGGATAAGCCCCAAGTCTCCCTCCATGGTGCACACCAGCGGTCCTGAATGGCCAAGAGCCTCATGCTTTCTCCAAATCCTCCCCTGGGTTGAGTTTAGCCCTGCTGGATCCAGGTCTTTATCTCTGGTGATGATGGATGGACCCTGAGACCCATCCTCGAGACTTGGCTTGGCATCCTCGCCGACAGCAAGCGAATACGAGCAAGGCTGTGCTCATTGTGATTGGCTCCACGAAGTCAGCCTCGCAGGGTCTGTCATTGCTAGGGCATGGTGGCTGTGAGGTTGACTCAAGGCTGACATCAGAGAGAGCTCCGTGGGGTTTCGGTGAAAAGATATTGGAAGACTGAGTAATCTACACAGTATACGGAGTAGACATGATGGTGGCTCAACCCCGGATTTTCTCCATGCGGAAGGCGTTGCCGGGACGACGAAAATATCCCGATTCGGACAAGACCCATCAACACTGGGCAGGGCACCTCTCCATGCGAACGGCTAACGTGACCCTCTCCAATCGTCATCTACCCAACTCTCATGCACTGCATCTAGACCCTTAGTTTGGATGTGAACAGGCGTGTACTAACCACCAGCAGCAAACATGGCTTCGACAAAATCGCCCCCCACCTCCCTGTTCCAGGTGTACCTTCGCCTGCGGCCTCCTATGTCCCAGCACGAAGAGGAACAGGCTGAGCGTTGTTTGACCATCGAGATCCCAGAGCATGTATACACAGCCGAAGGCGACGACCAAAATGTCCCGCCTACGCATATCACTCTACAGCCTCCCAGCGACTCCCGGAAGCGCGCCGTCGAGAAGTTCGGGTTCACACAAGTCTTCGACGAGTCCGCCTCTCAGTTGGGCGTCTTCGAGGGCACGGGACTGGAGAATTTGATAAAGGGTGTTTTGTCGGAAGGACGCGATGGCCTGGTCGCGACGCTGGGCGTCACGGGTAGTGGAAAGGTCTGCTAGTCTAGCCGTGGTGGTAGGCGATAATGCTAATGAGAATCCGCAGAGTCATACCATTCTGGGCTCCAAGACGCAGCGAGGTATCACCCAGATGAGCTTGGATGTGATCTTCCGGTCCCTCGCTTCGACGATCAGACCCCTCGACAACTTTATCAGCCCCCTTCTCTTGTCCTCTGTCGCCGCCGCCGATGCCTCTGAAGCCCAGATCTTTAGTGCGCAGACGTTCCTCGAAGCTGTATACGGTGAATCGGTCGATCGTGGCAGGAGTCCCAGGCCTCAGACCCCAATGAGTGCCGGACGAGCGCAAACCCCCATGGCGGTACGGAGCCCTTTCCCCCAACCTATATTGCACCCCACCCCAAGGTCTCGAGTGCTGGTCCCTACAAGCTGTCAATTGCCCGCTGCGTATGATCCGCGGATAACCTCGAAGCCGGCCCTTGGCGGTTCCCCCACCCCTGGTCTGCCGAATCCCCTCTTCATTCGGTACGGTAGCAAGACGCCGGATCGGAAGCAGCAAGGATCCCATTTGACAACCCTACACGGACGTTGGAATCGCTACAAAACATGTTGTGCTAACTCACCCTCTCTTGCTTCAAAGGAACCCATGCCGGCGCTCATCTTTCCCCGTCGTCAAATGCCCTTGCGCGCTAGCGCCCTCCCCCGATCGCCCGACGTGAGCCATCTTACGATGGAGCTGAACCCACACTCGGAATACGTGGTTCTGGTCTCAATGTATGAAGTGTACAACGATCGTATCTTTGACCTTCTGTCACCGGCTACCATCCCTGGGCAAGGAAGCACAATGACTCGCCCGGGAGGTGGGCAGAAGGACCGCCGCAGACCGCTATTCTTCAAGTCGACGGAGGGATCGCCTGACAGGAAGGTCGTTGCGGGCCTGCGGAAGATCGCATGCTGCACTTACGAAGAAGCTTTGTCGGTTTTGGAGGTTGGACTTACTGAGCGAAAGGTTGCAGGCACCGGTGCCAATAGCGTCAGTTCCCGCAGTCATGGATTCTTCTGTCTGGAGGTCAAAAGAAGAATGCGCAACAAGAGAACCGGCGAAGAAACATGGATGGGAAACACACTCACAGTGGCCGATTTAGCCGGTATGTTCAGCTCAGCCTCAGCCTCGACATATCAGATGTGTTAATCAAGCATCAGGGTCCGAGCGCGCAAGAACTGCGAAGACGGCAGGATCTACCCTTGCGGAGGCAGGCAAGATTAACGAGAGCTTGATGTATCTTGGACAATGTCTACAGATGCAAAGCGATATTCAGGAAGGCAACAAGGTATGCCACACGAAGAAGCTCTTCTCTTGTCTTCGCCAGGTTTTCTGACTCCAAAAGGCGATTATGGTCCCATTTAGGCAATGCAAGCTCACAGAGCTGCTCTTTTCGAACTCTTTCCCGTCGCCTGGTCAGGCTTTTGGCCAGTTCCGCCACCCGCAGAAAGCCATCATGATTGTGACGGCTAACCCATGGGGAGACTACAATGCGACCTCGCAAATACTCCGCTACTCCGCTTTGGCACGCGAAGTTGCTGTGCCCCGAGCCCCATCGGCGACAGAGTCCATCTTGTCCAGCACTCTCGAATCTCGTCATGGCTCTTTTGGCGGACGTGAGTCGACGAATTCAGTCGCGGCCGAAGAATTGGAGAAGGCAGCCGCTGAGATCGAGCGACTCCGAGCCGAGAATGAGAACCTTTCAGTGAGACTCGCCGAGGAAGAGATCGTGAGAACGGACTTGGCCATGAGATTGAAAGCAAGCGAAGAGATGTGTCTCACTATCGAGCAAGATGTGCGTGAGGAATGTTGGAACGAGATGGACGAGAGGATGGAAGAAGAGAGACGCCGGTGGCAGAACGCTTGGGACGAGCAGGTGAGTGTCCTCTTCTGCGAACTGTGCGATTTTGACCCTAACTTCATGCAGACTGGCCATAACGAAGAGCACTTGGATAAGAAGCTTGAGTTGTTTTCTCGGGGCTTCCAGAGTAAGTACCTTCCTCTTCTTGCTCGTGTTCTCCTGCATCATTGACGAAACTAATTTTCCTTCCAGTCTACGAAGACCCCAACACAACCAACAATGAGCGCATGGAGGAGCTCGAGTTCGAGAACGAGCAGCTGCGCAAGAAGGTCGCCGCGCTGGAGCGCGAGCTCACTTGCCGATCGCCCACCAAGAAGACCAGAGCCAAGACCACCACGACCACCACGACCACCACGACGCTCGAGCCCTCCCGCAACTCCAACATCCTGGGCCGGGAGAGCGATATCGAGAATGCCTTGAAGCGCATGGACCAGCTGAAACTGGCCGACAGTATGTTCTCGCCAGCCCCGCAGCAGCTTTCGTCTCCTGGCAAGAAACATCGCAAGATGGCCACCAGGAAATGGGACTTGGCTCCGGAGGAGGACATTTACTAAGGCTGCTTCGCGGGATGAGCTTCCACTCTCCCGTCCGTGATGACCACATGTACCAATCTGAATGATTGACCCTTTGGTGGGATTTCTTGTTTGTTTGCTTCGGGGTTGAATCAGTTTTTCTGCTTGTGGTTTATGATATCCGTCTGGACTGTTGGCGTTTGTGGGAAAATTACTGGAACTTTACTTCTATCCGTGTTGCTATTCATGTTCATAAATTCTATGGTACAGCACAAAGTACATTCATTACTTGCACAGACATCTCGTGACCCAGCAGCTCTTCCCGGCAACGCCGACCTTTTGTATCCTTAGGTTATTGAGATCATGAGGAATTGTGATGATACAAGTTGGAGGAATCGAGGCTAATCCGGCAAGAAACAACGGAACTTCTGGGTGTCAAGCTTTCAAGGCTCTGCCTCAGTCATATTCTCATCTTCATCATCCGTGCCCGCAATCTCGATTTGAACTGCGTCCGCGTCCGCATCATCGGCGGTCTCGTTCCCTTCCGCGTCGCCCAGGGGCTCATCCTCCCCATCGCCTTCCTCCTCCTCCTCCTCCTCTTCTTCCTCTTCTTCTTCCTCCTCCTCCTCTACCTCTTCCTCTTCCTCCTCATCCCCTTCCATCTCCACATTCCCTTCGTCACCGTCACCTTCACCGTCACCGTCACCTTCATCATCAACATCAACATCAACATCCTCAACCATAGTATCGCCCTCTTCCCCTTCCCGTTCATCGTCTTCTTCTTCTTCTTCCTCCCCCTCACCCAACTCCAGATCCACATCCTCCCCATCCTCCCCATCCGCCCCACTGGCCAGCCCCTCCAGCTCCGACTCGGGATCGAGCGACCCATCCCGGAGGTTCGGGAACAACAACTTTCGCTCCGTCGTGAGCTTGGACAGCTTCTCGTCGTCCATCTCGCTGAGCTCGCTCTCGTCGTCGGCGCTGTCGTGCAGACTAGCGGGGATGGTGTCGCTCTGCTGGCCCGAGGCCAGGTCCAAGTCCTCGGCCAGGCGGCCGCCGGTCTTGCCCTCCAGGGGTGACGGGCCTGCGGTGGTGGATTCGGTGGCGGGTAGAGTTTGGGGATTGAGCGCCGCGGTGGTGGTTGTGGTGGTAATAGGGTCGGTGGCTGTCGTGGTAGAGGTCTTGCGACTTCCTGGTCCTCCTCCTCCTGCTGCTGATGCTGTTGCGGCGGTGCCTGGGGCAGCGGCAGCGGCGGCAGAGGTGGAGGTGGTGGCGGCAGCGGAAGTGGTGGGTAGACGGGGTGGAACTTTGCGGTGGACGATGGCTTCGGAGCGCTTCTGGATGTCTCGGCGGGCGATGCCTTTGGTGCGGCCGCGTGGGGCGGGGGCTTCCGAGGCCGGGGCGGAGGTGGGCGGCGTCGGGGTGTTGGTGGTGTCGGCGGCGCCGTCGCTGTTGAGCATGCCCATGCCGCCGCCGCCTGCTGCGGCACCGCCAGGGACCGTGGGGTCGACCTTGAGCCGCTCTTTGGTCTCTTCGTGGGCTTGTTCGAGAACCTGCGGCATGTTGATCTGGTACAGGCGGGAGTAGACGTCGGCGATCAGGTCCTCCAGCAGGGCGACTTTCATCAGGTTGTTGTTGAGTTTCTTGAGCTCGATGGCGTCGCGGATGAGTTCCAGCAGGGATTCGCTGCCCGGCGCTAGGTCGGTCAGGCCCTCGAGGCGCGCCGTGTTGGCGACGAACTCCTCCCAGCCGATGGGCTTGAAAACACTCTCCTCGTGTCCTTCGTCGATGTGTGCGGCACGCCGGATCAGCCCCGCGTAGGTGAGGCACATGTCCTCCCAGAGTTTAGCGTGGTTGACAAAGTCACCTTGCTTCTTGCGCACACGGCGGAGAAGTTGGTCCAGGTTGGCGCGGTCGTCGAGCTGGTCCAGGAGAGAGACGAAGAAGTAGGCGTATCGTGTGGTGTAGACGAAGTGTCGCCCGGGACGCTCGTGTTCCGGTTTCCAGACTTGGATGGTCATGGTCTTGGTGACGATTTGCTGGGTGAGCTCGTTCTTGGCGGCGGACGCAGCTTCAGTGGAGTCTTCGTCGTCCTCGTAGAGGATTCGTGCAGCCTAAGGAGAGGTCAGCGGAATCACCAGGTATGCATGAACTCGAAACATTCAAACATACTCGGTACGCCATGCGATGGTGCCAGTTCGATTTGTCGGCATTCTTCAGGTTGCGAAGTACTTCGGAGATGTAGCGCTTCCAGGAAGCCTTGTCTTCCGGCGGCTGCACCTTGCGAGCCCAGGGCGTAGCGAGGAGCGTCTTGCTGGCGTCGGCGGGCTGTAGGGAAATGTAAGCATCTGATGAGAGCGTGTCGGGCACATAGTGTCCATACCTCCAAGGCTCCGCGACGAACCAACTTGTGCACTACAGTCACAAGCTTGTAGTGAGGTTCGAATATCGGTTCCGACCGCGAATCCCTTCGTTGCGGCAGAGCGTCAATCGCATCGAGCAGGGAGTCCAACAAAGTGTCTAGATCGAGCTGCTTGAACGGCCCTCTTACGGAATCATCACAGCTGAACATCTTCCAGAGACACTTGCTTAGCATGTAATGAGTCCTGCATGCGGTTAGTCTTTTGCAGGTAAAACAGAATCATAAACACGTACATCCAGTTCTTGGGCTTGTCGACTAGAGCCCGCTTGAGAAGGTAGCTGGCGAGATTCCACACGGAGTATAGCTTCATCTCCTTGAAAGGTCGGCCTTCATACATGCTCTGGCTTTCCTCGTTGCTGAAATGCCGTGTGAAGTCTGCGAGACTAAATGCGCCCATAGACAGTGGTTCCCTAGAGGACGAGTAAAGGCGAGTGCCGAAATCTGTGAACAGGTCCGCGAGCATCTCGCGGGTCTCTGGTGTTGGATCCGAGTTTCCCATGGCCGTCGAAATGGCCATGGCATAGCAATGAATGGAATAGCGCTGCCATGTTACCAGCTCCGCCCGGTTGTTGTTGATTCTGTCAGCTGTCCAGGTGATGTCTTCTTCCAACTTCGAATCGTATGTCTGCGCCAACCTGTACCAGGTCTCCCATCGCGCCGTTCCGTGCTCAATGTCCTGTCGGAAGCACATGACGGCATCATCAAGATCAGTTGTCGGGAGTGGGCTCAAGCGCTTCTGCGACCGAAACCTGGTCAAAGCCGCATATCCAAGGAGGAAGTACCAGCCATTCCGAGCGATCATAGCACTTTCGGTTGGCACTGGGATCAAGGATAAGCTTGCGACGCCCTGGATGGATCGGAAGAGCGCCAAAGGGTTGACTGGAGACTTCAGATATGCATTTGTGATGCGCTTGTTGTATGACAAAGGAGGAGATGACTTGGTAGTGCCAATGGCCTGCTGCATCTTCTCAATGGTGGATTTCAACTCGGACTTCGACAAGTCCTTGATGCTCAATCGCTGGGCTTGTTTCATCACCAAGTTCACCATAGTGATAGCCGTGGCGCGATCCAGCTTCTCCGTTGGGCATTTGTGGTCGTCCAGTTCGCCATACAAGGGTGAACACTTGATCCCGTTGATGTCGTACAGGAGCTGACATATGTCCCATTCAGTGTCATCGTTGACGCCGATAGCGAAGAGCTCCGATCTCATCAGTTTCAGGAATTGCTTGTGAGACAGTTTGCACATGAAGCGAATGCCCAGGCATTGATGGACAGCTCGCAAGTAGTTCACTCGATCTTCCGCAGGGGTCTCGAACTCCTCCTTTTCTTGAGACATAGCTTCCTTTACAAGTGTGTATTGCAAAATCCAGCAGCGGACCTGCATCTCGCGCAGTCTATCCTTGAGGCTCTCTAGAGACTTCGATAGCGCGCCGCGGACTTCTGGGCCTGTGGTCGCACCGACGCGAAGTAGGTCCTCATACAATGAGAACCCGTAGAGAAGTCTAGTCAGAGAGGCCACTGCAGTCAACGAAGCCTTCAAATGTTCCATGTCAAAGCACTCGTATGCTTTGTCCGCGTCCAGGAGCACGGCTGTTACAGTCTTGTTCAAGATGCTATCGAGCGATTTGAGCCACCGAAGGAGGGTGATTTGACGGTGCTCACTGGGTTCGTCCGACTCGGATGAGATCTGAAGCTCTTTCATTATAATTTCGATGCTGCGCAAGTAGCAAGAAATGACCTTGGGAGGATAATCAATCTTCTTGTAAGCATCCTGTAGTCTTCGCCAGAGGAAGAGTCTCAGCGTGGCATCGCCGCGATCCAGGAAAGAACTCATCTCAGTGATTTGAGAATTGGGCTCAAGTAGCTCACTTCCCTCGTCGATACCTTCGAATTGAAAAGATGCGGGCTCGAGAATAGGTTCAATGGTCTCAATGAGATCCACTGGGTCCTCTGAGCTGGGGTTAAAGATCTTCATGAAGAAGTCCATGGACTTGAGCTTCGAGATCTCTTGGTCAACAGCCTCGGAAGACAGTTCAGGCATGATCGCATTGTTCACAAGGCCAATTATTGGATCTTTCAAGCGTTCAAAGAGGAATTTTAGCTCCTGAAGGCAGAGCAATACATGCTCTCGGTGAATGTCACTGGCCATATTGGAATGAAAAGTCGATGCCCATATGTGTCGCAGGGCAAAGACCTCCTGGCAGCTTGTGCTAGCGTGGCTGTGGTCAAGGAAGTGTGATAAAGCAGTACGTGCGAGGAGGCTCCATCTCCCCAAGCGATCGCGCTGCTGAATCCTCGTTCTTCCATCCACTTCACTATTAGGATTATTAATTGACGCGTATATGTCAAGGTGAAGTTCAAAAAGTGTTTGGATCATTTCCAGATCAGAGAAATGAGCAAGCGTGTATGAAAATGTGGATTCAGCTTGACCTGTGAGAATTTGAGTCTCAAGGCTTTGCAGCTGTTCGTGCATGCTTTCGTAGATAAACTCGTCTTGGTGCAGTATGAGCTGCACCACAGTCTCCTTCAGTGATTCTGGCCACTGCAGCGACGTGTATGCGGACTCCATTGCAGGCCACTTCCGTGGCACAACATGATTCATCGCATGCTTCGCAAATTT